TAGACATACATCTAGAAACAAAACTATTTTATTTCAATCTTTTCCTGTATGGAATCAAGTGGTAGGTGAGAGTTACCTCTCGACTGCATAATGTTAATTGTTATTTTTATATTTACTGTGCGCAGTGAATGAATAGTTATTGTGATAGTTATTTAGTTCATTCGATAGAATTCGATTTTTTGTCAGGGATTGCATTTGTGCTGTTAAGAATATGTTGACAATGGAAAAATTTTATAGTTTCGAGATAAATGTATTCACTTGTAATTTATGAAGTGACTAATATTGAAATATTACCGGCCGAGGGTGCTCCGAAGATAATGAAGCGAAGTTATAAGGAATAATAAATTCAAAAGCGTGGAAGAAAAGAACATCGATCTTCCCGGCCTCGATTCGTTCGTTCTTTCTTCATTCGTTTCCATACCATTAATTTTACACAGTGTTCTCTTAAGCGTGAACGGACATTCGAGGTTTTTCATTCTGTGACAAATCATCCTGCGCGCTATATGGACATTATTACGCGCTACCAACGAATGCAGCGTGTTGACGAGCGACGAATATAGGTTATTCGCCAAATGCGAACAGTAAAACACGCTACAATATAATAAAATCTTGAACAATTCTTTTACAAACTTTCAAATATTAGGTTAATTCAAAAGTTTTGACGTTTTTGCCTTTTAGATTCACATGGAGAGTGCAAGGCCTTCGGGTCACCGATTTCGTTGAAACTTTTCATATTGGTAGATTTGGTTCTCCTGTTTATGAATATATACCATTATATATTTTTTTATATAGTTAAGTCTTCTAGGAAATAAAGTAATTTTTTATTAACATTTAACGTGCACAAAATAGAATTAATTTAAATAAAAAAAAAATCGAAAAATATTTCCTTTCCTACGGGGAACCGAACCTTGGTCTATGGAGTACAATTCCAGAACGTTACCCTCACGCCATTATTCAATTTGATAATTATTCTAGTTAATACTGTACTTATTAGTGTGATAAATTTTTAATAACGAATATCTAAAAAACTATTGAGTATCTGCCCTTATAATGATATATATTCATAAACAGGAGAAGCAAATCTACCAATATGCAAAGTTTCAACGAAATCGGTGACCCGAAGGCCTTGCACTCTTCTTCTCAGTTTAGTAGCTCAACTGTTCACTAGTTAAACGAAAACTAAGTAAAAACAAAGAAAGCAGTGCCTTTTATACACGTTATAATAGTTTGAAAAGAGACGTTATTTGTTTCGAAGAAAACAATTGTTTTATTGAAACGTTTACTGCCACGATAATTTCGAGTGTTTTGTATATTACTTATCCTTTCATAACAAAGACAAATGACATTAGAATTAATTATTAATAATTTGGTATTATAGTTCTTAAGTTACACTATCATCTAATTTCTTAGGTTACTAAATATTTTTATCCGATATCAAGTTATTTACTATAATTGTTTTCAAAGAATGTCGAAGATCTAGCCATCAGTGACCACCATAACAGTCAACGTGTTACCACATAAAAAAGACGTTAAAATTTTTGCATAAACCCAATGTTACATACGGTAAGATTATAAATTGTGTAACTGGTACATGTTTGCTTGTAAATAAAATTAGTGCATTCAGCGATGTTCGCGGTAATGACAAATTCACCGTGGTACAGTCCCTAATAAATTTACGCGATTATGCGGCTCGCGGTATTTCATTGCTCAAGTTAGTTCATATTTAAACATGTAAATACATTAGTGGCAATATCACCGGCATTAACACTGTACCCCGCGGAATTCCACACTTAAATTGCACGGGGCGTTTATCAAACGCCGACAAAACCATCTACGCCATTACTTCCGAGCAATCTAACCGGCGATAAAGTGGACATTCTGGTTAACATTCTGAATTCATGAAAATTTAACATATCAAAATGACCAGAGAATTAACGCAATCTGAAATATCGTTCAAATTCTTCTGTCTCATTCAACAGTACTCTTACCATTTTATGCGCGTTATCGCTCGAAGGTATTCGATGACTAGATTAAAGAAATCGGTGCAATTCTAGATGACTATAAAAAACTTTGATAGACCAGAAATCGAATAAAATTTTATTTTCTACATTACTGGTTTCAGTAAAATAAAATGGAATTGTGTGAACTTTTAATGAACTTTCGCGTTTTACTAGTTTTCAAACATTTTTATACACTATAAATGTGTAAAAATTCATAGTATAATTACTATTAGGTCCTGTAATATGAAATATCGGATTTTTCTTACTCTAAAATGTTAGTACTCCTGTTGTTATTCTTTTGTTTTTCATATTACCTTTTAACACTGAAACTACTAAGTCAAATTGGGAACATATTATTTTGCGAACATACAAATTCGGGAGGCACGTTTGCGAAAAATTTTTAATTAGTTTTGTGTATTTGCACAGATACAAGACTAGGGCACTCTTCAAATCTCAAGGAACGTATTGTTCTAATTTTGATATAAAATTGGAAATTAGTCACTCTAATTGTTCGGTCATTTTAGCGTTAAACAATTTCATTGTCGATTATCAGAGTAACTTCTTGCAAACACGTTTTTTCGAATTGTGTGTAATAACTATATTTTGCATCCTTTTTTTGAAAACATGCACACGATCAACATTTCTGTAATTTTCTTTTATGAATTTAAACTTGGAAACAATGATGCGAAAACTGTTGAAAATACAAACAAAGCATTTGGGGACAATACTATAAATGAAAGAACAGTGCAGTGTTGATTTGCAAAATTTCGTTCCGGTAATATTTCTTTGCGAAATGAACCGCGTGGTAAACCGGAAACAGTAGTTTATAGTGATGTCGTTAAAATTTATTAATTTTAAACATTCCGAATTTTTCAGAAAAGGAATATATTTATTAGAAACACGTTGGCAAAAGTATGTCCATAAAATTCGACATTTCATATTACACGACTTATTAACACCTTTTTACTATAATATCCGTTTTCGTTCATTGTTGTCATTGATCTTTTTGCACCAAATTATCAGTTTCTTTACAGAATAAATGAATATTACATGAACAATGTGAATGTCAATCGGTTGCACTTGATTTAACGATCACGGTGAATCTTAGCACTTAAAGTTTAGCTAACGTTCTCGAGCACGATAAAACCAGAAACGTTCGGAGAATCCACGATTTCGAAATAATCCCAACAATGGCCGGCTCTTCCAGAAAGATTGACATTGCGCGATCCCGAACAATAACTTGACAAGGAAAGGGACAGATTTGAATGGTGAACGAAGTGAACAATACGCACAATATGTCGTCTCGATCGGATCAATATCCGGTAAAAGGCGAGTTATTTCAAACCGGTGCTCGTCCCGCGTTAAGTCCACGATCACGCGAAAAAAAAACTCTCGAACGGCAGCCATTGCAGTGTCGATAGTCAATTTTCACGTCCACAAATTGATCGAATTTTTGCAATCGTTAATTCCGACAAAAATATAGGATGACATTGAAATCATGATTCTCTCACTCCTGAAAATAAAAACTAATATTTATAATAGCACATTCGTAAAATTATTATTTGCAGATTCCAGTCTTGTCAATTTAACAAATTTCTCCATTAGTAAACCACAAATCCTTATTTTCAAAATCTCTTCAAGAAGTATATAGTAAGATCAAAGACAAACGTGTTTCAAGAAAATTATTAGATTTCAAACAAAGTCTTCTCAAAACTTTGCTGAATTGTTTCAGTGTCTGAATTCTCGAGTTTACGATAAACTCATAAAATCTGTAGTCCAAATATTCGGGACATAATTTATCGAGGAAAACGTTGAATGCCATGAGGGGTCATCGGTGATCCCCAACCAAATCGAATTATTATTGTTCACTCAATTAAACGATGATTATTTGAAAACGTTTCTATATTGTAAATAATGCTATCCAATGCAGTAATATTTATAAGAATAATAATGCAGTTCAATCAAGTGATTTAGTGTTATATTTTTTCCATGTTGTATATTTTTCTCTATGAAACCGTGCAGTATTCAACTTGTTAATATTTAGGTTTACGTATTACGCTGACTTTCCAATTGTGTATAAGAATAAGGGGAACAGGTGGTGAGTTTCCTTAGTAGTAAAGAATTCAGGGTGATGTAATGAAGACGCAATTCACATTTTATTTATACGCGTTCGAAGATATATTTTCGTCGCGCCACCCCATAGAATTACGACCAACAAGGTGACACCAGCCGCGTCGTGAAAGTTACCGTAACGCCTGAAATATGCAGCTGGTACAGTGACACTGCATAGAATAACGGGTAGAAAGTAATTGTTCGCGTCCCTAGCCCAATTCGCTGTATTAGGTCATCCGTCACACCAACAAGCGTCGTAAATTACGAACTGGCTACAGTTTTGGAAAATCCAAACGCGAACGGCCTCCAAAAAGAAAAAAAAGAAAGAAAGAAAAAAACAGCTCGCTGCCTCTTTTTCCCACATTCTAAACATTTATACAACACCATTCTATTTTTTCCTCAGCGTAAACAACTGATTCACTCGAGTTTTTTTTCTGTTTCACCTCGAATCTGCTCCGCCCAAATAAACGATCGAAGTTGAATAAAAAAAACAAACCCTCGGTCGCATCGTTTGGTTTGGAAATGGCTTTTAAATCGCGCACGCTTTATCGTAAATGTCGTACGCTACATTTTCTGTCGATTGAACCTGAAACTTTAGAAATGCAATGGTTTTTGTAACTGTTGATTGATTGCGTGTAAATAAAGCGAGTCCATAATTTGTATTTATGCATGTAACTTTAAAAATAATAAAATTCTGGATAAAAATGAATGATTTATATACGGAGCAAGAAGCAACGTTATGTGGAAAGTTTCCTAAGGAAATTGTAATTTTTGGAAAGTAATAATAATTGATGTCTATATTATATTATATTATATATAATGTTTATATTAAAAATTATTTTTCTAAACATGCTATTGTGACTAATTTACATTTTGTATGATTTTCAGAGAGCACGTTTCGAGTAACGCTGCAGAAAAGTAGTCGTGGACTCGGATTAAGCGTTTCCGGCGGAGGAACCGCCGGACCAGTTAGAGTAAAAAGACTGTTCCCTCAACAACCTGCGGCCTTGTCTAATAAACTTCAACCTGGTGATATTCTTCTTGCTGCTAATGGTATTCCTTTAACAGGCCTTACCAATTACGTAAGTTTGAACTTAAAATTTCTTTTATGGTGGAAAAGAGCATTTAAGAATTCCTGGTCGCATTGGTTATTGTCATATTAATGTAAATTTATTAATATTAAAATATAAAATATTAATAAAAATATTAATATTAATGTTAATAAGTTTATTCATAAGTTTATTAATATTAATATTTAGAATCACATTTTCTTCCGAATAAGTAATCACTTTTCACTATTCAATTTTTCAAACTAAAATTCTATGCTTGAAAATATTACCGATGAATTAACTCGCATTTAGACAAAGTGGTGACTTTCTACGTTGTGCCTCGTGCCGTTTTCCCTCATCCCTGCCTGGCCAACTTAACGCGATGAACTGGCCGCGACGAAATGCCGATTACTGTAGCTTCAAACGGTTTCTACAGGCTTGTCTTCTCTCGTGGCTCTTCCAGATTTGCATTTCATTAGCATAATGCAGCTACATCCGGAACTCGTAGCTAAGATAGACGCTCTCTTGCGTATAGTTGCTCGTTTGTCCCCCGAGAACCAAAGTGTAATATCAGTTTATGTAGTACACTCCCGGTCGTACTTTCCTGTAGGATAACACATCGATGGTAAATCTCGAAACTTGATGCGAAACTTTGCTAACTCTATTACGGTCTGAATTATGTAAATAATTTCGGACGCGCGCGATATTAACTTAACATTTACTACTGGGCCACGATGCTGCTTCAAACGTACGGATATGAAAATTTCTTTTAATAAATGTATTTCAACCATAACCGTCAAAAAGTAGAATGTAACATTCCCCGTGAATTTACCACAAAAATTTACAAAATGGAAGTTCTATAAACATTAAGAAAATCGTATAAGATCGTTTAAAAATTTCTCCAATTTAACATCTATGCTTACCAACCAATTAAATGAATCTAACAGACATAAACTTTAAATGGAACCGTAAAATTACATGTCTAGAATTGATAAAACATTGAATGAGAAAATAAAATGTTCAAAACCGTTGCTTAGGGATGAGAAGACAGAATTTTTAATTTCACTTGGATACAACTTGTTGCAGGAGGCCCTCGAAGTTCTACGAACGACACCCAGCACCGTTGAGTTGGTGGTGTGTCGTCTTCCGGGTGATACGAATGTCACTCCACCCGGTGCACCGCCGCCACCCCCGGCGAGACGCGAGCCGCCACCGCCTTTACGAATACTCAACCCCTTACCGCCGCTTCAAATCGAACCCTGTGGCGTAAGTAACCCATATCAAGAATCCCTGGTTGTTGCAAGCCCGAGTAGGGCACTCGAATTTCCTGGATCATTGATCCACTGAATTCCTCGATTTTCCACCCCCTTGCCAACTAATCCATAGATTGAAATTGAGATAGGCTGTCAGCGTTACCAACTACGTACTACCATTATGTGTGCACGGATAAGCAAAATATATTATTCCTGTACTCGTACAATGAACAGTTGATCAAGTTTCGTTCATCATAATATAAATTTATTATTTTTTTAATGGAAAAGGGTAGTTTTATATGCTTACTAGTCACTATGATTGAGTGGATGAGTTTGAGGAGAATTCGTTTCCAATTATCTCGCAGTTCTTGGCCAGCTAACTCAAGTGACTATGTGTATATGGTATACATAAAGCAATGATTAATGAATATACTATCTGTTACATCTAGATGCCCCCAGGAAAGATACAGAATCCAATCGAAGTTCGTTTACAATTTAGATTTCAGTATCTCCTAACTGACATGTAGCTTCTGACGCATTTGTAACAAAATCCCTTGCGTTTATATGCATCGTGTCTGCTGGAATTAGTCTTGACGTGTGTAACGTCAATGTAATCCAACGTTCTATTACGGAAATATTATTATTCTACCGTCTGTTCAATTTACAGACACAAAATTTAATTATAAGATTTCTGTTCAGAGAGCTTGATACTTTAATTTAAAACGCTGTTGTTAAATTACTGACATTTTTATCAAAATGAGTAATTCTGATATCAAATAATTTCATACCCTTATCTATCCAGTAATAATCCTTTTCCTTTGATTTAAAACCTTGTTAACGATTTAATTGTAATTAAAACACACGTTTTGAACAGTTGCGCAACCAGGTAAAACTTTAAACAAAACTATAACTCTATTAAGGAGTCAAGGAGAGCATTGAGGAATATATTATCGATTAAACAAGAATCTTTCGCGGTCTGTGACAGGAATTCGACATAGAAATGACGAAGGTCGGCGGCAGCCTGGGTTTCACTTTGAGAAAAGCGGATAGCAGCGCGCTGGGTCATTACGTGAGGGCATTAGTGCGAGAGCCGGCATTAAGCGACGGTCGTATTCGACCAGGGGACAAAATAGTCGCTGTTGACGGTGCACCATTGTCCCCCATGAGCCACGAAGAGGCCGTCCAATTGCTGCGACAATGTGGCCCGACTGTCAGGCTTCGATTGTACAGGGATCTGGCGCAAACTCCTGTCTCCGCGCTTTCACCTACCGAGCCCGATCACCCTCTCCGTCCACCACGAACAAGTTTGAGGTGCACTTTTTTCTTCTGATTAAGCCACTTCCAAGATTCCACTGGAAAAATCGCTTCCCAATGCATTATTCATCTCAACCTCACTATTGATACCATCAAATTGCGAGAGCTCTCACTTGGCTTACAATTGATCCATCGAACTACCGACTAGCTTACTCTTATCTTTGTCAGATAGAAATCGACAGTGAATACAAGTTTCTGAAATGAATACATCGTCTCCTAACTAATCTACGAATTACTGTTAAATTATAGAGAGTATTCTTGTAATTTTCACCAAAACATTTCAAAGACTTTTAGAATCCGGTGTCTTTAATATTAAAAATGCATGTAATTGCTCCAAGCGACGATTAAATAACTTGTTTTAAGCTACCACGTTGACAGACGATACATTTGAATTCGAAATATGAAATGCAGAAATATTGTTTCAGACAAGAGGCGGTAGACATGCTCTGCGATTTAGCGGTTCGAAAACTATCTCCAGGAACCTCAAGCGGTTCAAGTTGCAAGCAATCCCCCGGAGCGTCGTGCAATTCCCCGAGAAGACTCCGGCGTCTTGCCACCCGCACGCCTACCGAAAACGATCAAGGTATTCCTTATAAACGATTCGAAAGATACGCAATTTCCCAATTTCAAATTTCTCCGGTATTTTTGGAGACGTTCAACCAGGCGTAACATTCCTGCAAATAGCTACCCACCAAAATATCCCATCGAAATCCTAGAACATCGGTCCGATGTTCCCCTTATTAGACAAGACCAGACGATAGGCCAGATGTAGAGGTCGATATCAATCGTTGCAGAAGCCTCGGAGAAGCAGCTGAGCGTGAACACCGCGTCGACGGCCAGCCAGGCGGAGACATCCGACTCCGACCAGTGCTCGATCAGAACGCAGATAACGAATTCCCAACCGAACACACCTGGAACGGACATAATCGATCCGCCGCCGCTTTACGACGTCTGCGACTCGAGCGATTCCTCGAAGACACCGGCGCGGCCGAGTTTCCTTGACTTGTCGGCGCCCCAGGGGAAGCCTCATTTCCAGTTCTGCAGTCTGAACTCGGATCTGGAGTATTCCGGAGATGACGCGGTCCCAGCCGCGGATGAACAGGCGTCTTCGGCGGCGGCCGACTACGACAGAAGAGAAGTCACCGTGTTGTCCAGCGATGATCACGACAACGATCTGCCTTCGGAGCCGGCCTCAATGCCGCCGGTGCTATCGGCCAGCACCTCGAGCTCGGCCGCATTCAGCTACAAGAACCCAGCTTACCAGAGCGCCAATCCGGCCTGCGGCGCCGGTATCGACGCCGCCGCGAAAAATAAGGCTACCCACTCCAGCGACCAG